ACCCACACCCTTCCTTCTGGGAGCCTTCCTGCAGCTCCCAATGGGGTGAGGAATTGGTGACCAGACCTGGGGAGCATGTGTCCCCCAACACAGTTCTGAGACAAGGGCCTCTGGCAGGGCCTGGGGGGGCAGGGTGTGGGCACAGGAGATGCTTGTTCCGTGCCCCAGGCATGATCCTGCCAGGCCAGGAAGTCTGTCCTGCCAAGTGGCCACAGAAAGACCCAGAAACCCTACGGGGTGGAGCAGGCAGGGGGCTGCGGGTCAGAAGAGAGGAGAAGGGGAGGGTCCTTCCCCCCACCCCAGGGCCTCCACAGGGCTCTCCACCATCTGTGCCTGAGCAGGCCAGTGAGGTTGGCCATGGTTGTGGGCCACGGGGAGGCACCTGGAGGGGAAGGGTGTCTTTCACACTCCCTGCCTGGTGGTGAGAAGGGGGTCGGGGCTGACCAAGCCCTGCTCCCTGTGACAAACTGGCCATGTGAACGGAAATCAGAAACGACCGGGAATATTTAGGTCATAAAATAAAGACAGCGCCTTTTCTTTTCGTATCTTAAAACACTTGTTCGCTTTTGTTTTGTTTTAAGCAGAGGTAAGGTACGCCTGGCCGCTGCCCTCCTGGGTGGGGGGCTACGGAGCCTGCTTTCGTCTCCTGGCCCGGAATCCTTTCTTTCCAGGGGGACCCTCATTGCCACCCCCAACCCCGATTCTTCCTTTACCTAACAGATGTCTCGAAAGGAAATGAACTCCAGTGTGACTTCTGTCTACAGTCGGCCCTGAAGAGATCACAGGGTGCAACAGGTCCCGCCCGACCTGTCCCGGGGTCCCTGTCCCGGGATCTCTGCCCCCAGTCCCAGCTACCTCTGTTGACACCAGCGCCCCCTCGGGGACTCAGCTAGGCTGAGGAGAACAGCGCATTTCCATAGAAAACTCCAGAACAAAATCCCTGCACACGCTCGCGCGGACACACACAGACACAGACACACGCACACACAGACACACCCTCGTCACGCCAGTGGGGGGAAAATCCTTTTCCACTTTTTTCCATAAAACTTCCCCGCAGAAATACAATATTTACATAGAGAAATAAATAGACGACACACCTGATTTCTGCTTTCCCTGGTGGGACAGTCGGAGGTATAGGAAATATGGCTTGGATACGAATCTCGAGAACTGCCGATGCGGGAAAGCAGAGTGGCCAGGGGCCTGGGGCCAGCCTGACCCTCCACAGCAGATGGACGGGACTGGGGTCCACGCCTAAGAGCGCTCTTTCCAGGGAGAATCACGGAAAAGCCTTGGGTGGGTTTGCATATTGGCTCAGCCCGACCTCGGGGCTCCTCGCTTGGCCCAGCGGGCAGCTCAGCACAGGATGGGCACGCCCTCCGCCGTCACCAGGCGCCCGGTGGTGGGGTCGTAGGTGCCCGCCAGGTAGTAGAGGTCCTGCCGGTCCTGGCACTTGCGGCTCCGGGCCATCTGCTCGTACTGCTCCCGGGCCACCACCTGGCACTTGTGGGAGATGGTCTGCACGTCGTTCTCGTCCTCGTGGCTGGACTGGTACAGCGCGTTCTGCCGGGCGGGGCGCATGGCGTCGGGGCCGGCCTCAGCCCGCGCCCCACCACCCGGAGGGACCCTGTGCTCGGGAAGGGTCACAGAAGAGCTTTCACAGAGGCCGGGAGCCTGCGCTGGGGACCCCATGCTGTGAGACCCCCAAGGGGGCTCCTCCACAGGCCTGGAAGCTCCACTCTTCTCCAGGTGTGGGTCAGGGGCACGGGAGGGGGGACGGAGGGCGGGGGCTGCCGGGAGTCCTGAGAGTGAGCTGCTGGGTGCCAGGTGCTGAGGGGTCCCAGAGCCCTCGGGAGGCAGGACCCGGGTGCACCAGGGGACAAGGCAGGTGCCCCCCAAGGCTCCCGGGGCTCCCAGCAGGCAGGCACCCCAGAGGCCGCTCCGCTGGCCCTAGCTGCTGAGACACTGCCCCCACCGTGCCTGCTTCACCCCCACAGACCCTCACCTTCCCGTCACTCTGCCGCTTCCCCAGCTTGGTCTCCTCGGGGTGGTAGAACCACTTGACCTTCACCACCATGTTGCTGCCCCAAGATTCCCACATGCTCTCGATGCGGCCAATGTAGGGCAGGTTGGGCCTCCCGGCCGACAGGAAGACGGCACAGTCCCCAATGCGCAGCACCTCCTTGCCCCGGACGATGGCCTTGTAGAACAGCTTCCGGGCCTTTCCCTTCATGCCACGTCTCTGCAGGGGGACAGCCAGAGGCAGCAGGTGAGGAGTGCCCAGGAGAGGAGAACAGGTCTAGTGAGAGCAGGAGGAACAGTGTGGCCTCTGGGTGTGGCCCCAGGGCTCCTGGGAGGGCAGAAATGCCCACACTGTGCTGCCAGGCACAGACCCTGGTCCTGGGAGTGGACCACGCCCGGGTTTGCCCTGCACACTGGGTCGGGACAGGAAGACTGCAGTGATCCCGATGGCAGAACGGGGGCAGAGTGGAGCACCTGTGTTCAGCACAGCACTATCCACAGCACAGCACTGTCCACAAGTGCAAAGGGCCCCATGGACAGCCCCAGGCACCCACGAGCAAGTTCAGGTACCAGGAACGTCCACGTGGTGCCACCTCCTGCAGCCCCCCAAAGCTGGACCCCAGTCCCCACCAACTACTCAGAAAAAGCCCCCAGAACTACCCAGGGACATGGCCCAGGGGAAGCAGGGCACAGGCACCTGCTGGGCCGAGGCGCAGAGTCATTGGTAGGACAGCATAGGCAAGGACAAAGGCAGCTGCCCCATCCAAAGGAGGCCCAGCTACCCCAGAGCCGCACTCGGGTGTGGACAGGAAAAGGAACAGGAACCCAGTTTCTTTGGGGACAGGAGCTCCTCTGCTGGCCCTGGGCCCTGGGGAGAGGAGCCCGCCTACCTGTGTGGGGTTCCCCGACCACTTCCAGAGCTGCCGGGCAGGCAGGAAGGCTGAGATCTTTGGCCGGTTCTCCACGGAGGGCAGCCGCTGCCCCCGGGAAAGCTCTTTGGCTTTGGAGAAGCTCAAGGCCTCCTTGCGCTTAAGCTTGGATTTGCCACCACTGGGGCCGGTGCCCGCACCTGCACTGGCCACCGTGGCCCTGGACAGGAAACAGCGCTGTGCGTGGGCATGGGGGCTGCCCCCCTTGGAGCGCAGGGCCTCGGGCTGGGCCAGGAGGGCGGGCACGGGGTGGGTGAGACAGGTCTGCAGCAGCAGGGCCGGGTCCTCCCCGTCAGAGCTGTAGGAGGAGTCCTCGTTGTCTGAGGAGCAGAGGCTGGAGGTGGACATGGAGCCTGAGGAGGAGGATGTGGACGAGCCGGACGAGGAGGAGGACATGGACAGGCGGGTGAGGAAGCGGGAGGGCATGCCGGCGGCCAGCCCCGGCCCGTCCTCGTCCTCGTCCGAGTAGGAGCTGGGGCAGTCGCTGTCGCAGGGCAGTGGGTACTCGGCTTGCCCTGCGTACTTGCGCAGAGCCAGCCCCATGGGCAGCGGGTGGGCGGGTGCCCTCCCCTTCTTGTCCTTGCCCATGAGGGCCGGGTGTGCGTAGCTGGGGCTGGGCAGAGGGCGCCCCAGCTTGGGGCCGAAGTCCTTGTCACCCACGAGCAGCGCCTTGCAGTTCTTGTTCTTGGGGGAGGTCACACCTTCGTGGTCCAGCTTGACCAGGAACTCGCTGCCTGCCCGCCGCCGCCCGCCCTTCTCGGCCTCCGCCCGCTCAGACTTCTTGGCCCGTAGCAACTTGTGGGCTCCCCCGGGCAGGCCTGACCCAGACCCGCTGACAAAGGGTGCGTAGGAGCTGGCCAGGCTGCTGAAGGAGTCGGCGCGGAAGCCGTTGCCGAACACAGGGGCGGCCGCGGTGTGTGCGGGGAACAGGGCCTCACGGGCCCGCAGCTTCTTGGCGCTGTGGAGCTGGAAGAGGTTCTGCAGCACCCCTGGCCCTTTGCTGCCCGCCGCCGCCGCCTTGCGCTTGGTCTGCGCCACCGCTGACCAGCTCAGCAGGGGGCTGCCCCTGTGGCCTAGGAAGTGGTCCGAGGCCCCCGTGGGGGACTTGGCACCTGAGGTTAGGAGGTCTGCTTTGCCTGGGGGGGAAGCCAGGTAGGGTCAGCGGCACCAGCTGGGTCCCCGGGTGGCCTCCACCTGCCCCTCCCCAGCCCGACCAGGCTGCCCCGGGGGTGCTCCCCCTCCCGGGCTGCCCACCCCCACGAGGGCCTCCCTGCCCTGGGCTCTTGCAGTCCTGCAAATACCAGCTTTGTCTTTGACGATGGATTTCTTCCCAGGGGTCTTTGTGGCTTCTGGGCCATCCTGTGCTTTAGGGGAGAGGCTGGGGGTGGGGGCCTCACTGGAGGGGGGGGCCTCGTTGGCTGCCTTCTTGGTCCTCCGGCAGCTGCTGGACACCAGCAAGGCTGGAGAGGGCTCTGTGCCTGCAGAACGGGCAGAAGGGCTCAGTGGGGCCCGAGGGGCACCCCCTCCTCCCTTCCTCCTCTCTGGGAGCTGAGGTAGAGCTGGCCGGGGAGCGGGAGCATGCAGGGTGCTCACACTGGATCTTGAAGTCCGGAGGCAGCAACCTGATGTTGGAGACAGCAATGTGGCCTGTGTCCCCATCGTCAAACTCCACGACCACGGAGTCCAGGTCTTCCTCCTCGTCGCTGGAGGCACCTGCCGAGGGGGCACCGCCTGAGCACGTGGCAGGAGGGACAGCGGGTGGGGGGGGTGCTGAGCGGGACGTTGCTACTCTCCAGTCCCCGCTGGCCCCGGAGTTGCCACTGGGGCGTGGCTGGCAGGTGTCAGGCCACTCCACCCCAGGGCATGCACTTGTGCAGGTGCACACACACCTCTTGCCAAGTCACCTGGGAGGAGGCCCCTTCCAGGAGAGTCCCGCAGGCCTCCGCCCACTCCTCTGAGGAGCCTCCAGCCATCCTGCCCTGGCACCAGAGGTCTGCCTCGGGAGAGCTGGTGTGTGCACAATGGATCTGGGGACCCAGCACTGGGCTCTGAGTCCGTCCTCCCAGCCCTCGGCCTGGCTGGAGATGGGCACCTCTCTGCCCAGGCCCTCCTGGCTTCTCATGGCCCCTGGGAGCTGCTCCTGTCGTGTGGCTCTAAGCAGAGGCCCAGGTGTGCCTCTCCGTCCTCCCCGGCATGAAGTTCTGTATGGGTGGGGTCCCCAGGTCCACAGGGTCTCAGAGGGAGCCTGGCCCAGGTGCTTCTTGGACATGCTTACCTCGGACCACGTTGCCTGGGTACAGGCAGCGAGACTTCTGGCTCCAGTAGGCACACACCCGGGTGCCAGGCGGGAGGTACCGGCTGGATTGTGGCCTGACGTCCAGAACCTGCAGCGAGTGGTGGTGGGCAGAGGAGAGTGGCCTGTGAGCAGGCGGGGCCTGGCCACAGGGGCTCTCTCCAGGCCCAGGGTAACCCCCAAGGCTGTCCCCCAGGCGGGCGCCTCGCTCACCGCCTCCTGCAGTAGTTGTTCCAGCGAGTAGATCCGCTGCCGATTGCCTCTCTCGCCCTCGATGACGATGCTGTAGCTGAGGGTATGGGAGAGCGTGAGGGGCCTGTGGGGGACTTGCAGCTGTAGCCCTCTCCCTCCCGTCCACACCGGGCCTCACATGTCGGGGGGCTGCAGGGTCCTGACGCTGCCCGCGTACAGCAGGCTGTCTTCCTTGGGGATGAGCACAGGCAGCCCGTCTTGCAGGTCCTCCTTGTGGATGGTGCAGGATCGAGCTGTGGGGGAGAGCGTCAGCACCAGCCCACCCGCCCCCAGCCTGGTGCCCGTCCCGCCTACTCACCCAGGGCAGTGCTCTGCTCCACACTCAGGGGGCTGCTGGCCTCCTCCTCCTCCTCCTCCGAGAAGCTGCTGTCTCGGCCGAACTTGAAGTCGTGTTCCGCAGCGAAGGTGTCCAGCAGCCGGCTCACCGCTCGGCCCTGAGCCTGGGGGCCAGAGGAGTCAGGCAGGGCAGGAGAGGCCGGGCCCGGCTCCCAGGCTGGGCGGGCTGCTACCTGGGTGCCGACAGCCTTGCTCTTCACCTTGCCCAGCTTCCTGCCCTTTCCTAGGATGGCCTTAGCGTTGCGGGCAGACAGGGCGATGGACAGGGCCCCGTTCTTCCTCTGTGGAGGGGGGGCGGAAGAGAGGGGCAGTGGTAAGGGCGGCAATGCCCAGCTGGCTGGCTTGGACGCCTGGGGTCAGGGAGCAGCGAGCCGCAGAAGTCCCCTCCCGGCTGGCCTCACCCGCAGCACGGGCTGCAGCAGTGTGCTCTTGCGCGTGGCTCTCTGCAGACGCTCACTGGCCAGCTTGCTGCCTTCCTCGCGGCAGGTGAAGGCCTGGGCGGGACTGAAGAGGGTGTCCCTGGTGGCAGTGGCACCTGGCTCTGCCCGCAGGCCGTTGTTGGCCTTACCCTTGGACTTCCTCTTGCCCGGTGCACCTGGGGGTCGCCGGCCTGGGGCCCGCTCCATTTTGGCGCCCACCTTGGCCTTCACTGTCCGTCGCTTGATCTTGACTTCGCCCTCGGGGCTGGACAGGCGGCAGGCCCCTGTGGGAGGGAGGGAGGCCGTCCTGGTTCTGGCTGTGGGTGCAGCCCTGCTGCCCGCTGCCCGCTGGCCTGGCCTCCTGTTACCTGGCAAGCCCTGCCGCTCCTTCTTCTTCTTGGCCTTCTGGTTGGCTTCCATCTTGACCACGGAAGAGGGCGAGGGCCCCAGCACCGCTGCCCCACACCCCGGGTGCAGCACCAGCCCGGGCTCCGTGGGGGCCCCCGCCGTCTCCAGGAGGGCCTGGCAGTCCTCACTGTCATAGCCGCTGCCTGGGGACAGCAAAGGGGGCTGAGCCTTGCCATCTGGGGGTGGGAGGGGGGCCCGTGGGGACTGGAGGTGCAGCCTGTCGTGAACTCCCTCTGGGCTGCTCCGGGTGGAACCCAGGGACCCAGCCCTCAAGCTGAGGGTGTTTGGTGGGGGAGGGGAAGGGGTTTTCTTTCTACAGCCCCAATTTGCATGGCTGGGCCCCTCCCTAGGCAGCCGTCCCCTCTGTCCCCTCTCTGCATCCTGGGGGCCCAGATGGCCAGCTTCCTGCCCCCCCCCCAACAGCAGGGCTTCCCTTTGTTCTCCGCAGCCCCTGGCCCTGGGGGAGGGGCTGGGAGGGAGGAAGTGTCTGTTTTTCCAGGCTCCTGGTCCTGGACACACGGCTGCTGGGGAGATAACCCCTGGGCGGACGCTGCAGGATGGAGGCCCGGGAGGGCAGAGGCTATTTTTAACCCCCATTTCCAGGATGTATCCAAGGGCCTCTTTCCTCCACAGGGAGAGCCGCTGAGCTCTGCCCTGGCCAGGAGGGCTCCTTCCCAGAGGTCCCAGTGAGAGGCCCTCCCAGGTCTGCCAGCTCCATGAGCCCTGACCTGGCTCTGGCAGTGCCCACGCCCCTGTCCCCCGCCTCCAGGCCTGGAGACCTGGCTATGACCTTGCCCACCAGCAACGTGCCTGCTTCGTGTGCCGTGGCCCCCACTGGCATCTCCCTGCCGCCGTCACCGCCGGGCTGTGAGTGCCGGGCTGCCCTGGACACCTTGGCACTCTTGGCTCGGGACAGCTTCTTCCGGATGCGCCCACCTGGGGCAGCCTCCTTTCGCTGGAAGGGGCCGAGGCCACTGGGCAGACCCTTGCTCTTGACCTTCGGCTTCAGCTGGGCCACCTGGTGGGCCACAGAGGACCCCAGCTCACCCTGAGTGTTGCTCTTCCTGCACCGCACCTTCTCCTGAGGACGAGGAGGCCGTGGCTACACCCTGGCCCACTGTGGCCACAGCCTCCAGGCCTTTGGGCTTGCCTCTGCCAACGCTGGGCTGAAGGCAGCGCCCCAGTGGCACTGCCCTCCTTCCCCACTGAGTGGCCCCTCTTCAGCATCCTATTCAGGGGCCCTGGGGGTGCTGGGTGAAGGAGATTGGGCTCAGCAGAAGGGCCAGCACCAGGCAGGCACCCGGTGAACCCTGCATTCAGAGCCTCCCCAGAGGGTGCTCGGCCTGTCTGCAGGGGCCACCCCTGCTGGAGGACGGAGGGCATCAGGAGCAGTGGGCGTTCCAGTGTCCCTGTCCCCATGTCAACATGGCTCAGGTCCATCTTGGGGGACAGGCTGGGGACTCACCCCGGAGGACGGCTGCAGGCCCACATAGACGCTGTCCTCCAGCTTGCTCCGCTTCTTCCTGGGCTCCTCGCGGCCTCGAAGCTCTGCACACAGTAGGCTTAGGCTGGCCCTCACTGCCCTGGGGGCACAGGCAGTGGTGGGCAAGGTGGGCACAGGCATGGGCACAGCAGCTCTGCCCAGGAGCCTAAGCCTTGTTCCCACCGTCCCTGTGTGCCTAGGACAGCCCCCTGTGCCTTCCAGGATGGGTCTCTGTCGGGGGTCAGAGTCTGGGCCAGTACTGAGCTCTTCTGGACACTTGACTCCCCACCAATATGCTCTGCCTCCTGACCACAGGCCCTTGGCGATCGGGGCACCTCAGTGCCTGCACCTGCTCCCTGCAGGGCTGTGATAAGTGGGGTGCTTCTTCACCCCACCCCATCCTTCTACCCTGCTGGGGAGAAAGCTCTCAGTGGTGTCCAGTCTTAACCACTGGTGAGGCCCAGCCCCCAAGAGGAAGCCCAGCCCCCAGGAGCCAGGGCTGTGCAGCTACCTGGCCCCTGGTGACTGGGGCAGTGGACTCAGTCTTTCCACCTGGAAATCGGGACAGTAACACGGTTACTGCAAGGTTGGGGTGGGGAGCACACGAGTCCAGGCCTGGCCTTGGGCAAGTGTCCAAGGCCAGGCCCTACGGAGCTGGGACAGAAGGCACTGGGACAGCTTCCTGAGGTCAGGGTCCATTTCAGAAGGGGTGGGTGGGGCAACAGCCACATAAACACACACTCTCCCTCCAAGTCCCCTGGGGCCCCCACAGGCTCAGCCCTCCCAGGGGGTCTTGCGGAGGAAGCTGAACCCCACCGTCCACCTCCCAGAGGGGCTGTGTCTTCACCTCCCCAGGGCCTGCAGCTGCGCGGCCTCCTCCAGGCGGGGAGCTGGGCTGGGCTGACCCAGGATCAGTGCCGCAGGAGACAGGCTCAATGCTCCCCACCACCCCACGTGCCTGGGGAAACTGGGGTGCTGTTTGCCTGCCCGCAGTTGGACAGGGGCTGGGGGCTCTGCAGCCCGTCAACCCTGCCCTGCCCACAGGGTGCAGAAGGGAGTGTGGCTGCTCGTGACACTGGGTCGCAGACGGGGACTGAGAGGCTGACCCAGTCTGGCCTCATGGGGCCAGACGTCCCTCGTCACCTTCCTGTCCAGCAAGGAGGCCGGGCCTCTGTTGGCTGAGAAGGCCAGGCAGGAAGCCCTGCAGTGAGATCCTCCTAGCCCCCAGCTTCCTGCCCACCCTGCTTGACCCTCCCACTTCCGGCAGGGCAGAGGGCCCATCCCCTGGGCCCAACTGCTGGCTGCAGCCTCGAGTCTTGTAGCGTGTGGAGGGAGAGTGGGGACAGAAGCCGGAGGTGGGGGAGAGGCAGAGACCTGCTCTCTGGGCTGGGTTTCCTTCCCGGCCCTGAGGCTGCGGCTTCTTGGGTCAGCAATGCTGTCCTGAGGTCAAAGTTTCAGGCTGGGGTTGCAGTGAAGCAGGGCGGGGAGAAGCTGCCAGGCCTGCCATGCCTCTGTACGGGCTCCACGACAGAGACCCTGGCCAGGGCCTGGCCTCCAGTGGCCCTTCCTGCCCAGCAGCCCCAGGGTGCCTGCTGGTTCTCAAAGGGAGACCCCCACTGGGAGACACCTGGGCAGGGAGGGACCACCGGGCAATGCCCAGCCATATGGTGGACCCCCTCCTGCAGCCCACGCACACTCCCCGCCCCGTAACCTTCTCTGCATTTGCTAATGTTTTGTGACATAAAGCCCTGAGATTAATTTTTTGCCTCTGTCTTAATTGAAGGAACCATTTAGTGCCGATTTAACTATTATTACCAAATCATCGGGATTGATGCGGTGCACAAGCGCGCGCGCCAATCGCGTTCTGAGGAGCTCGGAGGATTTATGTAAATGGGCCTGCCGGGAGAGGCAATTTGTAGCCGAGAAGGACAATTATGCCCGGCCCGGGAGTGCGGCGTCGACAGCGCCGGGCGGGTAATGGATAATAACCTCCGTGGCGGCGTGAGCAGCAGCGCAGCGTGACCACGACTTTATACAGTGCAGATAAAGAGCCGTTTACGCCACGACGCCTCACACACGGGGCCAGGTCCTGGGGCCGGTGTGGCCGAACATGGGGGCCGGGGCTTCCCGAGGGTGGCAAGGACACGGGGGCTGCAGCGGGTGTCTGCACTGGCAGTGCCCGCCCCAGTGGGGCTCTGTCCCCAGGACCCTGTCCTCGAGTCCTGGAAGGGCCGTGCTGGGCCTTCAGATAAGGTGTGAAGGGCAGCTGCAGCCCAGGCAGCAGGGACAGACAGCCCTGCTGTCCAGGCCGTGAGCGCCAGCCCAGCCCTGCCCACCCTGTTCCCAACCCCCACACTCACTTGGCCTTCTTGCCCTCGCTCCTGGCCAGCGGGCCCCCGGGACGCAGGGCAGACAGCGAGCTGGAGTGTCTGCGCTTTCTGGGGCGGCCAGGCCCCCGCCGCGCAGGGCTCCGAGAGCTCTCCTCTCTCCTGGGGGCCAGAGGAGAGCTGTCAGAGGCTGCCCACCCTGCTGCCCACCCTGCAGCTCTGGCTGCAGAACCCGGCCCCTCCCGGCTCTGGGCTCCAGCTGTCCGGCCCCCAGGGCCCTGCAGGCTAACCTCTGCTCCTGGAGCCCCACTCCCAGCCAGACCGCCTTGGCACTGGCCCCCTCTCCTCGGCACCCTGTGGACTGGTCTCTGGGAGACAGCCTGCTCTGTCTCAAGTCTCACCCCCAGGTCCCAGGGCTATCACCACCACTGAGGAGCCTCGGGACCCCAGCTTCCTGGAGACCCTGGTGAGGCCCCTATCCAAAGGCAGCCAGCATGGCCTGGCTGGAATCTGCATCTGCCCCAGGTGCCACCCCAGTGTGAGGCCCTTGGGGGTGGGCGCCGCAGCTCCAGCCCCCACGTACTCATGGTCATGCCGTCGCTGCAGGCGCGCCAGCTCTCGCTGCTTCTCCTTGTAGCGCCGTTGCAGCTCTGCCAGCTGCATGCGCATCTCCACCTCCTGTGTGTCCAGCTGGTCGATGGCAGCCTTCAAGGGGCAGACCTGTGTGCAGGGGCACAGGGGCCTGAGAGCCGGGCCAGAGCCTTAGGGCAGGGCTGGTGGGCAGTGCCTGCCCTGTCATGGCACTGGCTGTGTGCCCTCGAACGGCCACTCACAGGCTTGGTCTTGGGGGTCCAGGTGTCCTTGCGCTGTAGGATCTGCATGCGGGGGGTGAGCCTGGGGCCACCAGGGTCCGCAGCAGGGGGCTGGGCTGAGGAGAAGGAGCTGTCTGGGCTGGCGGCTTCTACCAGGGACCAGGCGGTAGCCAGTGTGGCCAGGTGCTGCAGGTTGAAGGCTAGCACGTCCTCATCCTCTTCTGCTGGGGGGACAGGAGGGTCAGTAAGGGTACACACTGCCCTGAAAGAGACTCCTGATGTCAGTCCCCACTGCAGCACAGCCCCAGCCCCTGGAGGGCCCAGTCCTGAAGTGAGGACTAAGGACCAGGGCCAGGCCACAGGGAAGGTGCCTGGGCCCCAGCAGCTCAGGTGGGGAGAAGCCCCTGTGCAGGGCCAGATGGCCGGGGGCCCGAGGCTCCTGCCCTGGGGGAAGGACCCACACTGGGGAGGGCAACTGCTGCCCAGAGCCGACTGTGGTGCGGCCGGCAGCGGCGTCTCTCAGGACACAGAGCCAGCACGGCACTGCCACAGCCAAGTTCACTCCGGGGCAGACCCACACGGCTGAGCTGGGCTCGTCACGGTGGCTCCAGGGACTAGCTCACCACCTCCAGGAGGTACCCACTGCTCTCCCCTGCGTCCATGCGCCTGTCCACCCTCCTGCCAGCTTGACGGAGACCCCAGGAGCAGCTGCAGGGTGGTGGCAGTCATGGGAGGGGGGATGGCAATTCCCTTATTCCTCGTGAACAGGGCGGCCAGGCCTGGCGGGGGGGTTCGGGGGGACAGAGCAGGCCCTGGCCCGGGAAGGGTGCAGCTTCCTGCTCTGTCTCTCTTCCTGGAGGCCCCCACAGTTCCTCCAGTCCTGCCCCCAGCACTCCCTGCACCTCTCCAGGCCCCGAGGCAGGCTGGGCTGTGCCCGGCCCTTCCTCCCAGCCCACCTGGCAGAGCAGACTGCAAGCTCTGGCCCGGGGTAGGCAGCAGTGGGCATGGCTGACCACAGTAAGGGAGAAGGCATAGAGGTTCACCTGGGGACCAGAGTGGGGGCCGAGCCGGGTGTCACAGGTTACCTCACCAGTGACAGCGCGACCAGGGAAACCCTGGAGTCAGGGCCAGGGAGGGACAGTCCAGTGTGCAGTCAGAGCTGGAGCTGGTGTATGTTTGGTACTTCAGAAAGCAATGACAGGAGCCAGGTGTGGTGGCACATGCCTGTCATCCCAGTGGCCCTGGAGGCTAAGGCAGGAGGATTGCAAGTTCAAGGCCAGCCTCAGCAACTTAGAGAGACGCTAAGTAACTTAGCAAGATCCTGTCTCAAAATAGAAAATAAAAAGGCTGGGGATGTGGCTCAGTGGTACAGCAACCCTGGGTTCAATCTCGGTACCAAAAACAAATAAATCATTGAGTATCAATGACAGGGACACATTGACAGCACACAGGAACTGGCCAAAGGGCTCCTCCGGCCAAACCTGGGCCATCTGGTCATCAGAATAAAGAGAGACCATCATGGATTGTAGTTGGCTGCAAAGACAGAACCTGCCAGCCGCGCTGCAGTCAGCAGAGCAGACAGGAGTGCGTGCCGAGGAGCTGTCACAGGGTCCCCAGGGTCTCTCCACCTAGAGCTCCGAACGGCAAGGGGCAGGTGGGGGGCCCACCCTGCGGGTCAGAGCAGACACAGCCGAGGGGACCTCCCGGGAGGGCACAGCTGTGCCCTGTTGAGGGCACCGGAACCCGACCACAAAGGGACGGGCGGGTTCTCGTCTTCAGGATCAGGGATGCCCCGTGCGGGGCGAGGAGGCAGGGAGCCCAGAAGACAGGGTGAGTCTACTGCAGACCTGGGGCCAAGCTGCTGGGGCTGCCCAGAGGGGCAGCTGCCAGACTCCCAGACCTCCAGACACAGTCAAGGCCAGTGGGAGGAGGGCTGGGGACTTCCCTCAGTGGGCAGTAGCAGAGGTCCATCGACAAGCCCCTTTCAGCCACAAGCCCTGGTCGCCTGCCCCTGGGGGTCACTGTGAGCCACCAGAGCCTCTCTGCTCCTCCCCTGCGCTTTCTCCGGGTGCCCTCGAGGCCACAGGTGTGCAGCCCTCACTGGCCTCACACAGATGGATCTGCAGGCCTCGGAAGCAGGGGGCCTGAACTACCCTGGGGTCTCCCCGGGGTCCGGGCCCCACGGGTCCCTCTGAATCCTGCTCTGTGGTGCAGAATGAAACTCATCAGGTTCATTTCAGCCAAAGTGGTCCCTGTACTTGTAAGGAACAGTTACCGCTGGACATGGCTCAGGAAGAGCCCATCGAAGGGATGGGCGGAGGGGGTGTGGCTGCTGCAGGGTGGCTGGGGCAGCCTGCACTCCACCACCCTGACTGCAGGAGACCTGGCCTGACAGTCCGCGCCTGCGCTGGCCTGCGAAACTTGGCCTCCTACGCAGAACACGTGCTCTGCATGTATTTACTCAATGAATGGGCCCTGGTCCAGCTGGCAGCCACAGCGTGCGCGCGCACGCACACACACACACACACACACGTACACACACAAGTGCACACGTGCGCCACAGTCACTTGGTGCCCCTTAAGCCATCCCCTCAACTGCTACGGGATGCTCACCCGGGAGTCTCTGGCACTTGGCTTACCCTGGGTGACCCTGCTGTATGTGGCCAGGAGGCCCAGCGAGGTCTCCCTGGGGGTCCGGCTGGGAGTCCACTCCAGCAGGAGCAGAGGGCCCTGGAAGGGCCGCTGGGTACACCTCCAGGGCAGGCGTGTCCCCTGCCCAGGTCACAGCCAGAGTGGTTGCCAGGCCAGGCCTCCCTGCAGCCACACGCCGCCGAGAGGGACAGAGGCCTTGGGGGAAATCGGCTTTACAGGGACACTCACTCCTCCCCACACAGCACAAGAGGCACATGGGCGTGGGGAGCCTTGTGCTCCAGGAAAACCAGGGCTTTGTGAGGCCCTTCTACAGACATCCTGCAGCACCGTGCCTGGCTGGGGTGCTCCCCCCAGGAGGGACTTCCTCTGGGGTCAAAGGGGAAGATGGCACTTCTCTGGCAGGAAGAGGAAGTGGACTACTGGGGGCCGGAGGGGACCATGTGGGGTCCTGACAAGGTGGGGGCAGAGCTGGGACCTGCCAAGCCGAGGCTGGCCCTTGGGCATCTGAGGTGGTCAGGCCCCAGCCTGGCAGCGGGCCGCAGTCTCAGCTCACCCTGCTGGCCCACCGCCCTGCGCTGCACACTCTGGGGTCCTGGGTGGCTGGTGAGCCCAGGGGCTCCTTGTCCTGTGGTTGCCTGGAGCAGGAATGCCTGCTGACTCAGCGCGGAGGCTCAGACCTGGTGGTCCAGCCAACCCCTGCCTGGTGCTATGTCCCCTGGGCCTGGGAGGAGAGGCAGACGTTTCCCACACTGGCCACACCAGGCCCGGGGCCAGGAGCCATGGAGCTGAGTGGCGGGGGTCCCACGGAGGGGGAGGTTGGAGCTGACTGCCCCTTTCCTGTCACCAGGCCTCCTGGGTCTGACCATGTCCCAGGGGAAATGCAGACAGCACACACGAGTGCTGCCCTCCTCCTCGGAAACCACATGGAGGGTGGCCTGGTCCCCAGGGCCAGGCTCGGGGGCCCTGGGGGAGGCTGCAGGCAGAGCTCACCTGGCGTGGCCCGCTGGCTGCTCTGTCGCTGGGCCTCCAGGTCTGCCAGCTCGCTGAGCAGGGCGATTCCATGAATCCCTGAGCTACGGGGCAGGGTGGCGGTGCTGGGGGGCCCAGAGGTCTCGGCGGGGAGAGGGTCCAGCAGGCTCAGGCTGGGCAGGTCCCCCAGGTCCACAGTGGCGGCCACCAAGGCATCTAGCCCCAGCAGTGCTCTGGGTGGGTGGCTGCTGCTGGGAGCCCCCCAGTCCTCCTCGGAGTCCTCCACACCTCCCTCCTGCAGCTGGGCCTCTTCCGGGGCAAGCCCCAGGCCCTCCTCGTCCTCCTCCAGGGCACCAGGGCTCCCTGCTTGCTGCTGCAGGGCTTGAGGGGAGGCCCCCAGTGGGGGTCCCTGCACCCCCTCCTCTCTGGTCCTCTCTGCTTGCGCCCTTCCCTGAGTAGAATCAGCCTGGCCAGTGGCCTCAGGGGCTCCTCCCTCGAGGAGGGCCCCAAATTGCAGTTCTTGCAGCCCTTCAAGTGGGCTGGGGTCCTCTGCCTTCCCTGGGGGTCCCCGCTCAGCGGGGTGGGGTGTGGCGGCACGGTCCTGGGTGGCCTCCCCGGCCCCTGAGAGCAGCCCAGACTCCTCCAGGCCCCTGGGGCTGCAGGGGGGTGGCTCCCTGGGCAGGAACGTCCTCGCAGGCTCAGCCCCTGGGGCGGCAGTTTGCATAGTTTCGGGGTCCGGGAGGTCCGAGGAGCGCCCTCCCGAGGGCAGGGAGGCAGGGAAGCCCAGGCCAGGCGTGGGGCGCAGGTATCCTGGAGGCAGGTCTGCGAAAGAGGGAACAGGTCAGGAGAGGCAGGGGCAGGAGGTGAGGCTCTGCCTGCCACAGGACGGGGCGACCCTGCTGGGGGTCCCCGCCAGCCAGCGCTCTGGGCCTGAGGCAGGGCCTGGGCACAGCGGCCTGGGGGGCGGCAGGAGGAGAGCCCCAGGGCATCTCTGGAGGGTACAGTGTGGCCAGCCAGGAAGGGGCTTAAGCATGATGCCTGAATCAGGGCTCTCCCCGGACAGAGCCGGCAGGCGCGGAGGCATGGCGCCCACTAACTCCCTAAGAACAACACAAAACCTCTTGGGCTCAGTCTCCTCACTGTGGAACTGGGAGGGGTTTTATGTCCCACACGGGTTTCCAGAGCTCGGTTCTCAGCCTGATCCAGAGAACCACGTGGCGGCTGGGGAATGGTGGGCACAGGCCCTCCTTGCTCAGACCCAAGCTGGGCTGCTGGTCGCCGTTGGCTGAGGTGCCCAGCTTTGCTGAGGCCCAGGCTCAGGGCTGGGGACAGGTCCTGGTCTGGAATCCCCAAGGGCCCTGCCACCTTATCAGCTCCCAGAGCTGGCCGCCAGGCCTGACCTTCCCCCAGCCCCCACTGCCAAGGGCAGGGAGGGAGGCAGCGGGGACCCGTCCAGAGCCAGGTGAAAAGGAGGAAGGAGGGGCAGGTGGCATTCCCCAGCGCCCGACGGGGGCTTGGGTTGGTGACAGGCAGACCCTGTCATCACCTCTGCCTGTCCAGGAGCGGGTGGGGCCAGGATGGTGCTGCCCAAGCTCACCTGGTTCCAATGTGGTGAGGTGGGCTCCGGCCCGCCGGCCCTCCCCACTCTTGTCTTCGGCGCTGGGCACCTTGGAGCTGGGCCCTGGGCTGCGGGCAGGGCAGACGGATAAAGTGCAGGGGGCGCTGGGGCCAGGTGGTGGTGTGGGACAGCTGGTAGGGGGCTTCAGGGTGGGTGAGTGGCAGCAGGGCGGCAGCTTGACCGGGCCTGCAGCGGCAGGTGAGGGGCCGCTCTTGGCCATGGGGGTTAAGGCAACTGGCTTGTGGGTGGACTTCAGGGCCTTCTCCTGGGTGGGCTCTTCGAGCTCCAGGTGGTGGTCCTCAGGCTTCCGCTGTTGAGTTGGGGAAGAGGGTCAGCCAGGTGGCCCCTCTGCACCTGTGCATCCTCTGTTGCCAGGAGGCGTGGAGGGGCTCCTGGGGCCAGCCAGGGAGGGGGAAATTGCCCACTGACTGTGGCCGTCAAGGTGGTACCTGGAAATGGGCAGCCCGCTGCAGCTCTAGGGCCTGGGCAGCCCGCTGCTGCTGCTGCTGCTGTTGCTGCTG